AGGCCAGTGGACAATGTAGAGGTGCACAGCTCCACTTTAAGAGTTTCACATTTTCTGCCTCTGCTCCAAGTGCCTGGTACTGAGACTTTCAATCTGGGATGAATGGCATGTTGAGTAGGATTGATTAAAATGATACTTTGAAGCGTCAGCCCAGTACAGAAAATAAAACAACATTAATTTTATTTTGGTTTAATCAATTAAATCTTAAAATGTGATTGCCATCCTGAAAAGGGCCAATAACTCAGAATGTGATCTCATTATTTGCTACCCATACTGACAGTTTCTAGGATAAAATCAGTTTCAGCAGTCTGCTGTAGTGTTACAGGAGGCATAAAAGTACAGAATGAAAACAGCTTTAAGAAAAGCACCTAAAAATAGTGTGTTTACAATAACTGTCATTCATTCTCAGTGTGAAATTATTATATTTTAGGAGGGTGAGAAGTTATCCTAACTTAAAACAAATGTAAAAAGGCAGATGAGATCAGAAAGGCACCCCAGAGCGCGTATGGAAATCAGGCTGACACGCTTCTGTGCCTCAGGGATATGACTACTTAAGCCTAAAGGAGGAAGGAGGTGGAAGGAGGTGGCAGAGAACACCCTGGACTCAGCCAGCATCTCCAATCCGCTTGTGGAGTTGGGCTTCCTATGCGGGAACAACTGAATTAACATTTGGACAAGACAAAACAAAGCAAAAAAGAGAAAAAAAATACTAATGCAGGAGAATATTGAAGGGAGAAATAAAAAGCCTGAAACCCTAAGGTGCTGGAATTAAACTGTCAGAGAAATGAACTGCCTTTCTGCCTGCATTAATTAAGCCCCATAATATAATCATCAGCATGGCTTTAAATTCAAGGCTTTCAGCTGCCAGTGATTTATTCTGATCTCAGGATATCAGCAAAATTTGCTGTTCTGCAGCCAGTGCCATGAAATAATCTCACAACATGCTCAGAGAAGACTATCAGGGACTGCAGCAGTTTTCCAGCTGTACAGCTCTGTATTAGTGAGTGGTGTTTAACCGTATAATGCTTTTGATTACGATATGTTTTTATGTTCCACTCCTGCTGCCACCATCGCCCACAGGGAATTTCCATGTGAACGTGGTATTTCATCTCAGCTGGCTTTTCTATATGAGCAACTGGGTCTTAATAAATTCACTGAAATCATATATTAAGATAAACCAACTACACAATGATGACCAGGGGAAACTGTGCTTTTTGGTGACTTCTGAATACTGGTGAATGTTGTTAGATTTGTGCAGCTGCTGTCATGGGTCACTCCTGCCTTGTTTCAGGACTAGTTTTTCCGTATGTGAATGCTAGGAGGAAACACCTGTCTGCAAGCCCCTGCTATATCAAGATGACACCCTGAGGGGGACTGTGCACGGTGGCCACATATACTGGCTTTTTCAAAACTTGTTCTGATCTCCTGGAGGTCAACTGAAGTACAATACCCTAATGTCAGCCTGGTCAGAGTGACGGTGGTCCCTAAGGTTTCCAGGTTCTGTGACTGACCAGGACTTTGCAGACCTGACAGCGCTCACCTCGAGTTCTGCCTCTTCCCTTGACTCCTGCAAGGCGCATTCCTTGGGCCGCCTCTGAAGCACATTTAGAAGCTTTGGCTGCTGAACTTGGCCATCCACATTTTGCATTGCACAGATTGAGATAAACACATGCTACTTTTGATCAGGTTTCTGCACCTGCTTCCTCTCTGCTTTCATTTTCCCAAATAACAAAACTTAGTGCCCAAAGAATCAGGTCTTGGTTGTTTCCGAGAGCGCATCAGTGACCCCCTGGAGCTGTCACGGGCAGCTCACACACTCCTGCTTTCCATTCTCAGGTCGGACGATGGTGTAACGAGCAGCAGGGATTTCTTCAAGGCTTTCCTTCCCATGGCATTGGTTCTCATTTGGAATTATTCACGGGACAACCTTGGGGTCTTCTCAAGACTTTTTCTCCTTTATTTAACATATGAGGAATCCACAGCCTGATTTAATCTCTATGACTAAGAGAAGACCTACTCACTAGAAACTGTCAGCAGAAACAGAGAAGCATAAAATGAGTTTTTTACTCACACTATTGCTAATAAACCTTCTCAGCCTTAGGATCCCTACCTGTACAGTTTTGTGGGTCTCTCACTTCTTGGGATTTTGCCACATATTGTGCCCTTGTTTTAGGCCTGGGCAGACTCAGAAGTGTGTCAGTAAATAATTTACATTTACTATTGTTACTTATTTGTAGTCTTGACACAGGAAAAGAGGAATGCTTAAATCTGAAAGAAACTTCTTTGAAAGATCAACATTGCAATTTTTTCAAATGTATCTACTTATCATGTTCTGAGTTCTTACAAAAAATGCCTTGCTTCTCTGAGGAATAAGGCTAGACTGGATTCAATTTTATCCTGTTTAATAAAGAATTACAATGACTGATATTGATTTTTTCTCACTCTGCTGATTTTATTTAAACTGTCTGTTGGTTTAAATTCTCAGAGAGATTTTCATAAAAGAAATACTTTTCACACACGCACTAGTTTTCCAAAAGCTTTACAGAATTATCATGATGGCACATATTTGTAAGTTTGGAGAATGTTTAATAAATACCTTTAAAATTATTTATCTTGTGCCAAAATTAACTGCATGTTACTACTTGTAATAAGATAAAGCAATCGATTTAATCAGCAGTGTTGGCATTCAGAGTACAGTATATGTAGGGGCATTCTTTTTCCTTGTTACTTGTTCTGTAATCTTTGGCTACATGTTTTAACAAGCTTAAGGAGACCTGTTGCTAGAAAGAATGGCTCTTCGAATATCAAAGTATATTCCTGCCCCTTACACACTCCCTAACTCACCAGTAAAATGCATCCTGCCAATAAAAGTTTCAGCAAAGCACTTTTGGACTGCAGGAAGAATTCACAAAGCAAGAAAGGAAGACAAACCCCCTTGCACTGCAAAGAAGTGAACAAAAATCACATGGTTTGTGTATATGGTATATATATATATGTAGCTGCCTGCTCAGTGTTATCCTAGGACAATTGCACACCGCTCTATGCTAATATGTACCTTTGGGTAAAAGAGATGGTGTTAATAAATAACTCTGCTTTTCTTGGCAGACACCTCAGGTGTTCGAAGCTGCTTCCTGCTTCCATCCTTATTATGCTTCCAGGATACAGCCAAGAGCAGCTCCCTGCAATTTATTAAATCAGTTCTTTCAAAAGAATCCCTTAAATACAATTTCTCCAAGCAATTTTTTCCCAGTAAATCTGACCTGGCATAAGTGAGTGAAGCACTAGTGAATGAAGAGCAGAGCAGAAGAGCACAGCTAAAAGAAGTCAAAGATGGCCTGAGTGACCAGGGGTGCTCTACACTACCAGTCTTTGAGATTTTTCTTTTTATAGTTTCCATTAAATGAAGCAGCTCAGACACAGCAGGAAGAGGTTTTTTTCCCTGAACCTACTACTGGGTGGTGCATAATGGCAATTGCTATAAGGGAGAAAGTAAAAAAGAAAAGCACAGAGTGGCTGTGTTGGCCAAAGGGCTGTCTGCCCACTGGCTGGGGCACTACCTGGTTGAGCAGTTCTGTGGCTGGAAGTTGTGCCTTGCACAGCCCCTGCGCAGAGCTTGAAAGCACACCAGGTACATCAGGGACTTCTCTCCCCACCAACAACGCGACGTCATGTGGGAGAGCAGCAGCCTTGCAGAAGCAGAGCAGAAAACTGTAGCTGACAGTGACAAAGAAGTACAGAACTCAGCCACTCCAGACAACAGGAGTCATTCCGTAAGAGGCATCGAACCTCATTCTTAGGATGACATTTTTGCTGAACTGAAGTCAGTGGCTGGGCAGGTACTCCCCCCTCCTAAGTAAGTTTTGCCTCTCACACTGTGATACTAACCTCCAACTCCTACTTTGGTTAAACATATACCAAAAATAAGAGAAACGTGCCAGGGAAGTGATTGATAATAAGTGATGGGGTAATAAATAGCCTAATAAATACTCTTTAAGTGCTTTTCCTTGCAGTTTTGTCTCTCCGGTATGTTTGAACAACATAAACTAAACATTTTCTGTAAGGCAAATAGATGTGACCTCCAAGCCAGGCACTTTTTCACGAGCTGTAAAACTCCAGCCACACCAAACACTTGTTCTTCCTACTGCGAGCAGCAGAGGGGCGGGCAGGCCGTCACCCCAGCTCAGATACAAGGGCTAAAATAACCGATGGGCTCCTGGTTTTCTTTTCACTAGTCCTCTCCCTGCTGATACTGCTGACACGAATTCCCCTGGTTTGGAGCTTTTTGAACTTTGTATGGAAAGGTATAATAAAATACATAAAACAAAATCCACCATTCTAAGTGTCTGCAAAATCAAACGGAGAACAAATGACATAATCTGCAACATGTTTTATATTTTTTTCCACTTTGAAATTCAGAGCTCTTCTCATAAATGTGGTAATAGATACTATACCTGGAAAGGAAGAGACATTGAATCTTAGAAGAGAACTTTCCCACTAATCAAGTGGGAAACATCTCAAGAGAAAAACTAAAAGGAAGAAGAGAGACATGCTGAGATTATGAGCAGGTTCATCCTCTTGAAAGAAGTCCCTCTCAGTGGCCTTCAGGAAAGAAAGAGGTTGACATTGCACTTACCTTGCAGGACCCCAGATAGAGGAGAACTATAAACACCATTTCTCCTCCATACAGCTGCTATAAAAGTGCTTAATTTGCAGGATATCGCTGAACCGTTATTTACAAGGAAATTAAACAATGTTGTTAATATGCTTAATTAATTAAAGCTGTGGTCTACATCATGACCCACCCTTCTGCAACTGAAATCCTTAGCATGTTCGAGGCAAGACCCTTATATCGTAAACACATTGATATTTAAAAGCTCTCCGGGCCCTCTGATTAGTGCTTTTGGCCATGTATGATCCGGTGACAGAGCTGGAGGGCAAAACACGAGCGCAGCGAGCAGGTAACACGGATGGCAACCCGGGGGAAACGCTGCCGTACTTACAGTTGCATTTCTTCTGAACAAATCTGAGCTTGCAGGCTGTTCTGTAGGTGGATAAGCGAATGCGATCCAGATCTTGGGCCCCTAGTGGAAGAGACAGTGGTAGAGAACACGACTTTTAGGAAGGAAGGTTGGGAACAGTCAGCCCACCGCGTCTGTCACTGTGAAGAGCAATCTGGTCAAGCTGCAGGCTAAAAGACACGCTGGCCAGGCTCCAGCAGCAGGGACAACCTCCCTCTAATTTTAATATTTAACAACAAAGATCAGGACAAATATCTTCAGCTGACATGTCAGTACAAAACAAGATACTGCCAGCAGACCGAATTAGAAAGTGCATAACACCGGAGCTAAGAGAGCTAAAGGAATCCGCAGCATGAAGAAGGGGAAGGAAATATTGTGGTGATATGTTTGCTGGAAGGGGGACCTTAGAGAGGCAGCTCATGGGCTCATGCATGGTTTGGACCCAGCTGCTCCAGCTTAGAGAGCTGGCAAAGCTTCCAAAGCTGCTGTCCAGGCCATGCGGATTCGAGGCACTGAGCTGGGCTGTGGGGTTGCCCGTTCCTGCCCGTCCCACCTAACGTTGGCCAGGCCTGGGAGGAGGTAGAATCACAGAATCATTATGGTTGGAAAAGACCTTCAAGGTCATCATGTCCAACCCTAGATCATCGAGTCCAACCCTGTACGGGGGGTGTAGGGACCCACTGCACTGCTCTTGGTGGCTACTGCATGGAGGGAGCAGAGCACGGGTCCCTCCTTTAGGTAACCTGCTGCCATGTATCATTCATAAAGCTTTCCACAAAGCCCTGAAAAAGCAGAGGAGTAGACTGTTATTTAAATGCTTCTCCTTCTCGGCTGGTGTGTTTTACACAAGGGAGTGTTGTTACATAGCTACCGTGTAGCCTATGAAATGCAGGACTGCTTATTAATTATCACTGCACATAGCATATTTCAGACACACATTCAATTAAAACGTTGCATGCTTGTTTGTTCACTGGGATTGCCCCTACAATAAGGAAAAAAAGAATTGTTTCACTCTGCTGAGCAACCTCCTCTGTGGAAAGGCACTGAGCTACAAATAACAGAGCTTCTTAAAGAACTGTCCACATGAAACACATCCAAAGGGGATCCTTAATTTAGGGGTAGAGTGGAGTGAAAAATGGCCCTATTCTGCTTCTAAACACGTTCTCAAACGAGTTAAGATTCATCTTGACATTATGAGAGTGGCCACTCGGCCTCCCTGTCGTACACGTGGCCACGTTGGCATCGCTCACCCACTTTCCTGATCAATCTGGCACCCTGTGGACCCAAACATTTCAAGTGTGCTCTGCCCCGTGAGATGAAGATCAGAATTACGTTCTTCCTCTTCCCCAGACCCTGCTCCTTTCCTGACTGGATTCTCCCACGCCATCATCCCAGGGCTCTCATGTGCTTCCTCTTGCCAGTTGGCTGTCTTAACACCATCTGTTCCTGGAAGCAGCTACCCTCAACTACTTAACATCAGGTCTGGGAAGGTTTTTATTTTTTCCCATCATAGGCTTTGTTGTTAAATTATGCAGTTCCTCTCTTCTTCATGAGGATCTTTTTGACAGGCTCTGAAAAAAATACATCTTTTCTGGAAGAGAGGGAAATTGTGCTTGTAACACTACGTCTTTCCATTTTTGATAGGACCAATGTGTAACATGAATACAACTTCTCCTTTTTTATGTGCAAGCTAGAAATAAAAGCTTTTAGTGCTTCTCTATAAAACTTCAGCCTTTAACGAGATGCCAAGATTCAAAGCAAAGTGTGACTCTGGCTCAGTGTATTTTCTTGGAGGCAGTATTAAACACAAATTAATGAGTCTGTAGGCAATAACATTGTTATTTTTACTATTTGCACATACAATTATGGATTGTATTATTTTAGGAGTAGGTGTTTTTGTTGATAAATCCCAGGAATACCGATGAATAGTACTATTGCTACATCTTTATGCTTAAATTAATCATGTTTTGCCACAGTTTGAGATCTATTTGTCAAATAACTTCTCTAGAAAAATGACTTCAGTTATATGGAGAATACCAAAAAATAAGTGAGAAGATGTGTGGAACTGAGCAGGACAAATGAAACTCTGAATTTGCAGCTTGCCTACAGGACTGGCAGTGTGTCTGCTCACCTTCTTTCCCCAAGGCAGTATTTCATTCTGTTTCTTTTGAATATTCCTCTCATACATTGCAAGTTTTCACTGCTCTTTTTGTACTGGATAATATGTTTTGGCAGCACAATAGCAATGCGTATTTTCAAGTCTTTTCATAAGAGCAGGCAGTAGTGTGAGCATGTCAGGTAAGACTAAGTGTAGTCTATTGATTCTGACATTCAGTGGCATATTTCGAGATATAAGACATAATCTAAACTTTGACCACATGACTCTGTAGATGATACTGGTTATGATACTAACTCACAAACGTTTATGACTTGGAAGCAGAGTGACAAGCCTTCTGCAGCAAAGAAATAGAGTTAAACTAAATTGCTCTACATAAAGGAGAGCTTACACACTGCCTAAAAGTTAATGTCATTTATGCCCGAACAAATTTCCTATTTAGAAAGAAAGGAATAGGTAGGTGCTTTTGCTCTCCTATGTAGCCTGGAACTTGTTCCACTTTCTAAAAATATAGTAGGGTTTTATTTACCATGGTCTGGGCAAGGAGTCTACAGACTCATAGCTCAGGTAAGAACCACAAACACTAGCGAAGTTGTCTATGAATCACATATTTTTTTCTTGCTCTGATGTTGGCAGGTTGTGGAGTTTAACTTCTTATCAGAAGCTTGTGTTTGTTACAGTGTTGAGAGACTTTGCATGACCCACACAGCATGTGGAGCACATGCTTTTTGATAAACATCGATTTCGTGGGGTTTCACACAAAACTGAGGGAACCTGAGCGCCATGACAGAAAGATGAACTTCTGTTTCAGCTAAACACACTCTTTATACCACAGGAACTGAAGGGACTCTTTAAAAAACACAAATGAGCATCTACTGAATGTCGCAGACATATCTAATCTTCCACAAATCTCCCCGTTTTTTGTGTAGTTGGAGCCTGATTCTCTTCATGCATATATGGGAAGAGGAGGGAAGCAGGCAAATGGGAAAGGATAGCACACAGCACAAAGTATGTCAAAATATTAAAAATGTGAAAGAAAAAAATAGTAGAAAATAGTCATTTGTGTACAGTACAGAAAAATAATTCCTCCTACTTCTCCAGCTGCTCACTGTAAATTCGCATAACTTCCTCCTCACTCTCCCAAAGCAACCCCAAACCAGCAAAACAGCCTTCAAAACTGCAGGAACAAACCATAAAATCCCATAGCAAATTCTTCAGCAAGTACAAAGTAGTTTCTGTTTCAGGAGCATTTCAAACTAACCAAAGTTAACTGGAGTGTTGTCATTGACTTTAGCTGCTGCAATATCAAGTTCTTTATATAACTATTAAAAGTATAGCACATCTGACAGTGCATCACTCTATTTTTCTTGTTTCTGGTCAAAGAACACCCTCCCCTCCATTGGTCCAAGACTTTGTAGGAAGGAGACAGGGGAATATCCTGATGAGTTGCATCAGAAAACCTTGTGTGATACTGTAATGAGGACACACCAGAGCTAGTGGACATAGAGGCACCTCTCTGCTACATGGCCAGTCACCTGAGTTCATGTCCCAGCTTGTGACACTGTTAGGATGTTTTTACTGTTAAGACCATTTGCAAGAGGCAATCTGAATATGGAGTCCTCATTTCGGAGGGCTTAGGAGCATAGATGTAGGTCTTCATGTTGTGCTGGGCCTCACCTCTGGAGAAGAAGTTCTGAGCACATTTGACTCTCCTGCACAGACCTTGCCTTTTAATGTACACAGTTGTCCAAGTCTCACTAATGCTCAGCTCAGTTTCTCCCAAAGGATGAAGAAGAATTAGAAAGAAGAAAAAAAAATAAAAAGAGGAATTCTGTCCTGTTTGAGGAATAGTCTATTCAAAACCAGTATCAATACCTATGCAAAGTTTTCCCAGCAGTTCTGTGAAGTGGTGGTCACCTGAATGTTTAAAACATGTGGATAATTTGCAAATTTTAAAATTAAGAGGCAAGATCTTAAACAGATGGATTCTCCAAAACCCCTCATATTTCAGAAAAACAGCTCTGGAAACTTTGCTTCTTTAATTCTGCTCCTTTTTGCTTTGTATCTTTAGGTTCTAAACACCAAAGTTTTGGCCAACAGGATAGATCTAGGTAACCTGCACTTAATGTTAACCCTAATACATATTTCAAAAAATAAATATTCATAACAATCAAAGTTGTGTTGATAACACAACAAAAATAACACTGTTGTGTTATTTTTACTATATTGCAAGCCATAAATAATAGGAGGCTTCATAATTACAGACAAAGCTTAGGTAAATCTCATAAAAGGGTGCCTGTCTCAAACGTCACAGATACACAGACAACCTGTTTGGAAAATGGACCATTGCATGAAAAATAATGTATGTGAAGACTGTTAAAAGCACAGGAACTCTGATTAATATAGGATACCCATAAGATATTATTCTGCAAGTAACACACAGCTTCACTAGAAACTAAAAGATACGCTGAAGAAGTGGGTATGTGGTATATGAGACCATCATTTTTGGGTCAAGAGGCCATTGATTAAATGAATACAGTCACAGAAGCTGGTGTGGAAAAAATCCCTTCCCTACTATTTGTCCAAATAAGCCCATTTTCCTGTAGCTTTGGTTGCAAAATATAAAAAGTATTTGTGAAATCGAGACGTCAGATGCTTTTACTGTAAAGTTTCCATAATTTTTACTGACACTGCATTGCAACTGGCTTGATCTATCACAGTGAAACATGTCTAGGAAGTACTTACGCATTTCTGCAAACAGCTGCCTTCTTTCTGCCATGGTATTTCCTCTTTTCCCACAATCTTCAATCATTCTGGAAGGCAAAATCATATAAAATACTGAGAATTATTCCCAGATCAAAAATACATACCAACATATTCAGAACGGATTATGGTAAACCTTTTAAGTTTACGTGGACACAGTGCCATTTGCGTGGTTGCAGGGGAAGCTGCTCCCACAATTGTCCTCTGTTCCCTGGCTTCTGCTTTCAAACATTTGTTTTCCCTCTCTTTCTCTCCCAAAGGCAATGTTCAGTTTTTCTGCTTGATGTAACTAACTGACTTACATAACATGAGCTCCAAACTCAGTTTACGTTTTCTTAAGAAGGCATCTTCAGTTTAAATTATGTAAGAGAGAAGGAATCATAAAAGATGCAGAAATTATCTTACAGTTCAGAAAATGCTTTTCTAGACAATTCTAGACTGAGGAGATGATAGAAAAAAATAACACAAGGGCAACTAAATCCATACTCCTCAACGTAACAGCCTCTATTTACTCAAGTAATTACACTTGAAACAGTCACTCAAATTCAATAACCACTCAAATTCAAGACAGTAAGGCTCTGATTAATTTCAATAAAAAACTCAGAAGCAAGAATATTTTCTTAGTACTCCGATATACAAATGTTGCAAGGACTATCAAGAGGGCTACAGCTGGATACAACAACTAGAACAGAGATGGCTTCTTACATTCGAACCATAAAAGACTTTAGAGTGAAAATAAGCATATTTAGTAGCACTCTGAAAATGAAGACAGGGAACCCTCCAGAACTTCATATAGATAATTACTCTAGCAAACCAGCGTCCTTTCCTATCTGCCAAATCTGGAAGGGCTTCTGACCCACATTTTTAATCTACATCATTATCTCAACTAGTTTATGTAAAACACAGTTTGGCCACCTGAGATAAAGACAGACACTCTGTAGATCATGCAAGCCACAATATCCCAGTGTCTCCCATGGCAAACCCACCGAGGTATTTAACAGGAACACTACTAGTACTGGATGTTGATGTTTACCATCTGCCTCACCAAACAACCATAGAAGACCAATTTCCTTTCATTTATCAGTGAAAAAAATCAGTCACCTAAGAGCTTCTATTTTCTATCTTTTCTTCTTTCAAGAAATGCACTGTTCAAGGGAAGTGCTGGTACATTATAACTGCCTCTTCCAAATGGCTGATCCAACCCTGAAACGCTGACAAGGGCTCCATTAAAGTGCTGTTTAAGGTGGACACGTGGTGATGGAGCCGCAGTCCCGCCAGGAAGCGGCCCAAGGCCGCGGCCGCGTCGCGCTCGCAGGTAGATCCACGCTTGGCCGGCAGCGACACGGCCGCGGCCGTGCTGATGTTAACCCGGGTTAACACCTCCTGCCGCCCTGCAGAGACCCCAGCCCTCCGCAGGGCCCTTCCTTGACGTGGCCACTCGGCCCCCGAGCCGCAGAAGGTCACGTCTTGGAGCTCAAGGCGTCAGGGATGCCCCACGTCCCTCTGCAACGCGCCGAGATGCACATGCAGATGCACCGCCTGCACACCAACGAGGCAGCAAGGAGTAGCTTTTTTATTATTATTAAACATGCATCGGCTCTAAATCACGGCCAATAAAAGACGAAATATGGTATAATCCCATTAACCCGATCTTGGGTTCCCCACCTCCTTGTGTTTCTAATTGAACTTGGACTAGTCGACAAATGTGCTGCGACAAATGTGCTGTGGTAAATCAACAAATCTCGCAGCTTCAGTCTAATTGAACTTGGACTAGTCGACAAATTTGCTGCGGTAAATCAACAAATCTCGTAGCTCGGACAGGTTAATGAAACCCTTTAAAAAGAATATGTCTTTCACCAAGAAAGACAGTTGAGTGAACACTGCAGAGCAAATCCATTTTTGGATTAGTTTTTATTAGTGGTAGTATGGTTTGTAAGCCATTGTAATTTTCTCTGACTTGTCCCGTATTCAGAGTTATTCTACCAACCACACACAACTAGTTTTCAGACAATGTACTGTTTGTACTAATTGACAAAGATTGGCTTATTTTCTTTGGGCACAACCATCGCATCAGCTTCCAGTTTCCAGACACAATTTACTCTTAAACCTTACAGATTTTTGCGCTCTTGTTAATTTGCGCTCTTCGCTCCACAAAGGTTCTTGCACATTCATCAATCGCTTGTCTCATAAACATTCAAGTGCAAACTTGCTAGTCTTGCTACAGAAAACAAATGCAAAAGGGGTGCTGATCTGTGGCCATATTCACCAAGGGGAAAAATATGCTATCAAAATGAAGTAAAAAATGTATTGTTCGAAAATAATATAAGTTGTACAGCAAAACCTCAGTTTCCTTCAGGGGGCTCATGCCTACAGTATTCTTCAATGGGGCAGAAATCATTAAGTGGTTTTTCCCTTTAATGTAATTTGTCCTCCCCTTATTTTTATTGATGTTTATATCTCTTTAGGTGAAGTTTTTTGCTGGACCAAGTTCTCATTTTTCACAATGTCCCATTATCTGCTCAATAGCAATTCCATAGCTGTGCAAACAGAGACAGACATGGGTTATGGGGCCTCCCAATGGTCTCTAAGGAAGGCTAAGGCAGCAGAAAAGAAAAGCACCAGGTCTCCCGCATCCTTTTATGTGGCAGCTCTTCAAAGACAAGACCATAATTACACGGGAATGCTTTACTGTCATTGCTGTGGCCAGCTAATCATCTACAGACATTGTGTTTATATATTTAAGGATCTAATTGCACCAGGTATGTTGCAGAGAGATTTTAAAATAGACTTTACCGCAAATGACAATCTTCAAATGCCATGCAACAGGATGTATGCCATTAAGCTAATGAGAACTAATGGATGGCAGTAATTTCAGATAAATATCTTCTACACCTCCTCTGCATCCTGTTCTGATAGAAGAAAAATGATCATCAATATGGTTATTTTTGAATCTCTATTGACAGGAATTTACTCATCCAGGTCCTCCAATCCCCTTTCAGTGCATTTTAACTCCAGGATGTGCCAGGGCCAAGGCTAACCTAGTGACATGGCTCACTGGGTGTTCTGTACCTCCCTTTTTAGTCTCATTCCTTATTCCAGCTCCCAGGTACCAGCTCAGCTTTTTAACTCCGATTGCAGAGATTCGGGCTTTGAGTTTGGGATGCCCTCAGCTCCGGGCTGCCCATGAGCATCACTGACTCATTGACTTGTTCCAGTTTTTCTTTTCTTGCCCACAACAGATGACAATTCACAAAAAAAAAAAGAAAAATTCATTTTGCTCTGTAGTGGAAAAGAGGAAATCACAAAGTGAACTTCAATATATTTTACAAAACAGAATAAATTATGAAAGAGATAACTTTGAAAAGCATTAATTTATGTATACTCTTCACGTACCAGGGATTAGATTAGATTCATCTTCTATTGATCTCCTCCACTATCTTTTTCCTTTCACTTCTTTTTTTTCCCAAGGAAATAACTTATTCCGTGTCGGTAGGGAAAACACCTACTGTGTGCCTAATTAAAATTCTTGTCATGAGCTAATTAGTACAGTACTGCTTAGCAAGGTATTACAGCTTCAGTGTATTACAGACATTGCAGAGCAGAAATGGGTCCAACTGTGTGGTTTCCAGTGTGAAAAAACACAGATGATTGATGTAACACATTGAGCTGAATACTTTTATGACCACTTTAGAACAGCTTGAGGGAAAACAATAAATAAACAAATAGTTTAGCCTGGTTTCATTACAGTCTAATTTTCATGCTTATCTGGAGTATAGTTGGTCTATTTTTTAATATAAACATTTGTTTATGAAATCTGTATCATATAATACATAGAAGGTGAAAACTACATGCCTTTGTTATTATTCTGCTTTGACTTATGAATACTGTAATCTTTCTTTCTCTTATACATATTTTGTTTGTTTTGGTATTTATAGTATATGTAGCTCATTCTATTAACCTCTGTTCATCCTTCCTGTAGCGAGTGTATTTCCTTGTCTCTAACTATCCTCTATGCTTGGTAAGAGCAGTGCCACCTACCATTTACAATCCTTAGCTGCCAATAAAGAAAAAAAAAGAAAAAAGCAAAAGTAGTTAATGGTCTGTTTACCTCGGAAAGGAGTTATCCTCCTGACAATTCCATAAACTTAAAAGCAGATTGTCAAAAATTCCGGACGTGACCCACACATACACATGCAGTTTGATGACTGTAAGAAAGGCCACTTTGCTAAAGTCCCACCTTGTTCTTGCACAACAGCTGAAGCACCCAAGGGAATCCAGCAACACGCCAGGCAAATCAGGTGCTGGAATTGATTGATTGTGGCAAGAAAAAGTTTAGGAAGTCCCACATGATGGCTGTGACATAGCTGTGTGCTTTGGAATGGAGACCGGAGACCTAACGGCCTGTCACTCTGACGGGATAAAAGGGATTTGCTGCCCTGCAACACACCTGAAGGAGAAGGAGCAGCACTGGCTGCCCGAGCCCTGTGTGCTGGTGCGGGCTGCTCTGGGCTGCTTGTGCTCCAAAGAACAAGCTCTGCTCCAGGAGGCAGCCAAAATCAGCAGCGGATACCCAAGACAGTGGAAATCCGAATGGATATCCACGTGAATACCCACCGTGGAAAGAATATCATCATTTTGAAGAAGATACAAACAAGGCTCGAGCATCCCTCATCTGAGCAGTCTGTATTTCCCTGCTGTGGAATCCTCCCACTCCTGGTATAAACAACATTGATTTTTCTACCATGAAATGGTAAAGGACTGGAGGTTAGACATTTGCTTAGGTTGCAAATGGCATTTGGCAATCCAAGGCATTAGGATAAACAGAAATGTGCTGGCTTCTCCATAGATACTTTTCATGCCACTGAGAAATCTGATGCTAAGAAGCAGGTCAATGTTAAACTGAGCTTTGACTAGAGAGTGATGATATTTATCATTAGCATAGGCTACCCACCTGACATTGCCTGGGACAGCTTTAGCCAAAATATTCTCTTTATACAACAAATTGCTACTTCATGTTGGTTCATCAGCACCAGAAATTTTCATTTATGG